GGCCAGGAGAGGTCTGCCTTGCCATGTGGATCCCCTCCAAGTTGGTAGGGATCGAACTCATGCTGAAGTGGCCTCAGTCTCCCAGTGCTGTGCTTCAACCCACTGTGCCACCAGGGAGGGCCAGACAGATGTTTTAAGTAGATTTATGAAGACATTGTTACATAATCATATAATATCCATGCTTTTTAAAGGAAATGGAGAAGAAGATGAGAATATTGAAAGATAGCATTGAAGAATTACGTAAGGAAACAATGCAGAAGAAATTAGAAATAAAAAATTTACGGGAAGATTTAGTATCTAAGCAAAAGCAGACACTAAAGGAACAGAAGGAACTAGATGAATTATTGGACTATCAGATCAACCTAAAGGTGTGCTACTTACAGGTCATAAATTTTCAAACATTGTGTGCATGACTGTAAAGACATTAACAGTATCAAGATTTCCCAATAGTTTTGACAAAGAGGGGTATCATCATGAAGACTGAAATCCTCTGTGTTGTAGTGATCTATTCAAACTAACCCTGGACTCTGAGAATTCACAATTTCATATTTCTGGTTGTATCTTTAACTTGGAGTTCTGACTTGTGGAAAGGCCTCTTTAGACCTCACCAAACATTTCTGATACCAGAAATGAGTGACACAATCATATACTTGAAGAACCACCAAATGTTCTAACCTCTCATTTTTATTGCTTTATTCTTGTCTGTCTGCTTCCATTCTACCTACCTCTCACTGTGAAAGTGATGAAGGGGTCCTTACATTTATGTTTTAGGAGATAATAAAAATTCATGTATATATCTCAAAACAAGTGAAATAAACAAAAATTATTCCCAAAACTGTATCAGAGATTCATTGACTTCATGAACAATTATGATATACTCTGATGTCTTTTTCCTTAAAGAGTCTTAGAGCATTTGGTCAAGACACGTCCAGTTGTTCCCTCAAACATAGAAACTAGGCAGAGGTGGGTTTGCAAGATGCAAAATGAAACTAAAACTTCAGGCCCCTCACTTGCATAAACCTCCTTACAAATTCAGCAGTTTGTAATTTTTTTTCCTTAAGAGAGTCCCCCAAACTATACAAAATTACTGTTTTCATCTTCACAACACTTGGATCTGCACTAAAACTAAGCAAGAGCCCAAAGAGAAATGCACCACACACAAGTATCAACTTGCGGGCATGTGTGTTACCCTGCACCCCAAAGTCCAGGTCCTCCACAGAAAGGGGCTCTTCAAAAACACCTGCCATGTACAAGATTCTTGAGACTAAAACTGAACCTTCCATATGACTATTTAATGGGATAATTAAAGCAGCGTGCACAGTAATGGGCAGATGGGAAGGATACTGTATTTTATAGTTCTCTTCGCTCTCCTGTGTAATTTGTTTGTATTGACTACTTTTGGTCCAAGAGGATGGTTTAACATGGTTTCATTTCCCTACCAGGATGAAGTGGTCCACCATCAAGCCATTCCTGTACAAATTGGAAAAGAGATAGAGAAAACAACACGCAAAAAAGTGTATGACTTAATGTTTTTATTTTTAATCCTCTCTACCTCACTCTCCTTCAAGTTATGTGTGCACAACAAAAATACTAACCACTAACTTTATGAAATTACTGTTTTTATTTTTAAATGACTGCATTTGGCTCTGGTAAGTCATATATATCAAGTTCATTGAAAGAAAGTGTGACATATTGCTATCACCCACAAGTCTTAATTATCTTAATCTGGGAACAGTATTCTCTTTCCACTTTGTAAGTCATATCTTTTTTTTTTTTAAAGATTTATTTATTCATTCATACAGAACTGGGATACAGGCCAGAGATGCGGAGGGTGAGAGGATTCACCAGAGAGAGAGTGGGGAGCAGAACAGGCAGATTGACAAAGTACACTGCTGAGGAGAATAGCGGGCGGGTCAGGAGAGGTCTGCCACGCCATGTGGTCACCTCTGGGGCAGGCGGGAATCGAACTCATGTGGAAGCGGCTTTAGATTCTCAGTGCTGTGCTTTAACCCGCTGCACCACCAGGGAGGGCCAAGTCATATCTTTTAAAAAACAAACAAACAAACTTTATTTATTCATGCATATAGAACTGGGGTACAGGCTAGAGATGCAGGCTGTGAGAGGATTCACTAGAGTCAGAATGGGGAGCAGAACAGGCAGATTGACAAGTACCCTGCTGAGGGGAGCAGGATGGGTCAGGTGAGTCTGCAGCACCATGTGGGTCAACTCACACTGAAGCAGCTGTGGCTAGCTTGCAGTGCTGTGCTTTAATCCGTTGCACCACCAGGGAGGGCCCTATAAGCCATATCTTTATAGGGAATTCCAATTGACTTTAACAGAGACTGTAAAAGGGATAAATTATTTGAACGGTACAGAATTTCATGGCCTGTTAGTATGTCAGACAGCCAGATGCCCAAAGCCCATATATTAGCATCTCTTCAGCAACATTCTGACTAGATTAGGAAGCAGATGTCACTAAGGAAATTCTCAAAGTTCAAAAAAGATAAAGATAAATGAAGATACACAAATTTTAGAGAAATGGAAATTTTGGGGCCTCCTGGGTGGCAACGGGATTAGGTTTCAGTGCGAAGGCTATGACCATAGCCCCACTGCAGCATGAGTTCAATCCCTGGCCAAGGAGCTGATCCATAGGGCGCAGTAGACCTTTCCTGTCTATTCTGCTGCTCCCCTCAGCGCAGTACTCAGTTAATCTGCCTCTTTTGCTCCCCACTCTGTCTCTGGTGAATCCTCTCACTCCCGCTCCCTTCCTGCACCTCTGGCCTGCACTCCAGCTCTTGTATGCTAAATAAATCTTTTTTAAAAAATTATGGAACTATTTGTTGATTGGTCTGAAAAGAAGTGCGGGGAGAAGAAGAGGAGCTAATAATAACTCTAAACACTTAAGTTTTCTAGCACCAAAGCTGAGACATTCAGGTCAGCTCAGAAAGCTGGCTAGGATGAGGGTTGAAGCCCAGAGACAGTGTGGTGGGACCATAAGACAAAGTGGGAGAGCCCTCAGCAGCACTAAGGGGAGATACTGCCTAAATCCACTCATTTGGAGTCTCCCCCAATTCTGAGAAGACTAAATTTCTGACTAACTCAGGAAATACAGATAGGTAAATGGAGCTAGTCTCAAAAAAGTAAGGCAAATGAGTGTACACGCGTGTGTACATGTACATGTATGCATGTCTTTCTCATAGAGAAATGGAAAAGAAAAAAATTGTCTTGGAACATGAAGTGAAAGCGCTAAATGATTCCCTAAGGAAAGTTGAAACAAAAATTAATGCTATCATGGAAGAGAAAGAGGATGTCATTAAGGAAGTTGAAGGTAAACGAGCCTTACTTGAAATTAAAGAACGAGAATATAACCAATTGGTCAAATTATTGGAGTTAACCAGAGAGAATGAAGCAAGTTCATTAACTGAAAGGTTAGTTATATTCATGTGTGTTCTATCATCTAAGTTTTTCTTTGATTTACATATGAGAATTCAAAGTGTCATCTTAAACAGGTTTGTGTGGATTCCATAAACATTTTATAGAATTTTAAATAGATTTTACTATCAATAATATATTATTAAATATAATATTTCAACTAATATTTTCTACCCTTTACTCATCATGTTTATCAGTTTCCTGTGACTCAATTGTAGGACACAATTTGTTGTGAAATGTGCCTGTAGAAAATTTAGTCACTGGAATATGTGATAGTTGAGGGACTTTTCCTACAAGTAAGTGGTACTTCTGAAGAAATCATGCCTTTTACTTACAGGAAGCAATTTTTGTGATATATTAGCCCTGAGAATACATATAGTGTTAGTCAAATAATGTTAATCACTATTTTTAAGTAAAATTTCAGGGTAACTGGGAGCCTCTGTCTCTGCCAATCTGCTATTCGATTTGGGGCTTTTATAAGACTAACTATGAGTGATACCAGATAGTTTTTGGCGTTATTTACAATTTGATGGTAACAGGAGCCTAGTTCTGTATGCTGAGCATGCTGTGTTGAAGACGATGAGGAGCAGCTGGTCACAAAGCACTTTCATTTTCTCCCTTTACCTGGAACAGAGGACTCTTGGACCTCAATTTACGAAACTGTCTCATCGATAAACAGAACTACCATGATGAACTTTCTCGTAAGCAAAGAGAGAAAGAACGAGATTATCGAAATTTGAAGAAGATGGAGTTACTCTTGAGAGTGTCCTGGGATGCACTCACACAAACTCAAGCCCTGCACGAAAGACTCATGCTAGAGGTGGGTGCTCTACACCACTCCTTGATTTGTAACCTGTGCTGTCTTTTTTGAAGTAAAAATATTTTTAGGGAGTTGTTTTGTTCTCAATAGAGACAAAGGAGAAGAAAAAGAAAAAGAACAGTGGAAAGAAATTTTAAACTTAAATTATATCAAGCCCACCATAGATACTATGCTTTCCAGTCTCTTTGCTAGCACAGGAGACGAAAAATGTCCTGTCTGGATTCAACATCCATCTCCCCAGGCAGCAATGAGTCATCCAGTTCTGAAAGAACTGAAGGGTTCACTACAGGCTATGACCAAGTGGACGACGGTCCTTACTGCTGACGGGACATCCAGAATAATGTCACTAGCGATAACACATCAGATAATGTAACAACAGACCGTCAGCCTCCACCTCCAAACAGCCTAGCTCCTTCGGGGTCCAGGAAATGCACCACCAGAGGGTGCTCAAGAGTGGTGACCTTTTACCACCTCTTGGTCCCCAAGTGAGGAGTTTTGGACCTGTTGCCACTGACCCTCTCTGGAGTGCTCCCCTTAGTGAAAAAGACCAATTTTTGAAGTGAAGCAACTGGGGAGAGAGAAGGCAAACCCATTCTCCTCAGGCTTGCTATGCCCTGTGACCTCATGGAGGTTCATGACCTTAGAAGTTTAAATAGTAATTTCCAATTCTGGTAGCCACTTCTGATCCTAACCTATAACTGTTCTCTTGTTCTGGATATATGGAAAGCTTACACATGTATCCTTTGAAGTTGAGTACAGTCACATGTCTAGTTCTGGCCAATGGATTGGGGCCAGAAGTGATATATGTTACCTCTAGCCTGGAGCACCTAATTGCCAGTGTAAGACTCTCTAGCCCTTTCCCCACCTCCTCTGGCATGTACATGATGATATGGAAAGCTGTAAAAATGGAAGCATCTAGGCATGCTCATGTCATAGCAAATGGTCATGGAGAATGGTGCCTTGATAAGTTTTCATGGCTTTGAGCCATGACCTCAGAGAGTTGTTTACTTCTGTAGCATCATTTGGTCTATTCTTACTAAAAGAACATTTGTAAGGTGTGGGGGGAAGAAAAACAAGCCTGGTATGGTTATGAGTTTTATGAATGATTGGGTTTTAAGTTTTGATCTTCCTATTAATTGGTACTCATAAACTTATTTTCCCCTATCTTTATCCCAGGGTAAATGTGCTTTTTACACTTTTACAAAAACAAACAGAACAGTTGGAAGCAATAATCTGTTATCTGGAGAAATATTTTTTGGTAATCTTACAGAGTTAAACATTGCTGGAAGTCAAAAGATCAGTTCCAAATGATGACATATGCACTACACATGTTTGTCTCTACCAGAAAATCTAAATTAAGTCAAATTAAAAAGAACATATAAGTATATAAAATGTAACTCTGCTACTTATACTTCTAATTAAAATATAAAATATGGCAATGAACACTCATCCTCACCAGAACAGCCAGGAAAAAAAAATGGATACACTAAAAAGCATTAAGGACACATGCAAGTTTTAGAAAACAAATTCCACAAAGGTTGAAGTATTCTCTAAGTGTAGAGAAATGGGAAGCCTTTCCCTTCTTAGGCATTTGCCTACTCTGGTGTGGGCAGGCAGAAGACAGGCTTGCCACAGGGAGGGAGACTTGGCTGAGACTGGGCAAAGCCAGAACTTGTAATGACTGCATGAACTAGCATGAGAAATTGGAATGTGGAGGATTTCTTAATTGAAGACATTTTCATGCATTAGTATCAGACATTACAGTATTCAGTCAGGGCTCCAACTGGCTTCCATTGACACTGAAAAGAAATAAAACCCTGCATATATACTTTAGTACAGTCTTCCAGTGACTTTGAGAGTTTTGTTCTCTCATTCACTGTGAAGTGTTGCGTGTTGGATGATTATGAGTCTATAAGGTTATTCTCTCTAAACATTGAAGCATGCCCACGACAGTGATAGAAACAACAAAATGCTCTCAGTGCAGTTTGTGACTGGCAGAGGCCCTGCAGTTTATCACTACCAAGGGAGCAGAACGCCACACACCACTTACAATCCCAGGGGGAGATGCCCACTGCATCTTGACATCAAAGTCACCAAGAAACACACAACATCGTCAAACTCTGGTTGAAACAACACTCTGCTCACAAAGAGAAAAGACAGAGCAACATTAGCTTCAACAATGAGCATTATTCATTGTTGTACCACAGCAGAGGAACCCCGATCCCTCCCTCATTAAACCTGAGGTACTGAGCACTGGGGACATCCTGAGTCCCACTAACATACACATTTAAGCAGAATAAAGGAATCCTTACTGTGCCTGAAACAAGGAAAGTACTTAAAAATAAGACTGGGTCAGGCTAGTCACTCCCAGATTGGGTGAACATTTCAGACTTGCTTGTAATCCAAAAGCAAAGAGATAAAGGTAAGCAGGAAGGGCTCTGACTATTCTTCAGAATTCATTTCCCCCGGGAGACAGTTGTTTGATTTTTCTCTGGCCTTGGTCTACACAGAGACTTGCCCAGAAAGTCAAGCCACAGACCTCATAAAAGTTTGAAATATTTGGATTTGGTATTTGGAAAAACAACAAAGTCTTAATGAAACGGAGGTTCACTAAGCTATCAAATAACTGGTGTATTTATAAGCAATAGAATAATGTCTAATTTCATAACTTTTATGAAAGCTGTTAATGTTGGCTCATGCAGTAAAAATGCCTAGAGGGCCAGACACCAAACTTTAGTGTAACACCTGGGGAGTGGCTTTCTAAACAGGGGTAGGGAGCAGATGGTGTTTAATGTCTTACTTTGCACACTTTCATATTGTTTGGTTACACTAGACACTTTTTTTAAAGTATTAAATGCTACTCTATTTAAAACAAAAGAAAGATCTAAAATAAATAAGTCTACAAAATCTAGAATTTTGCAATATACAATTTAGGGCTCAAAAATACTGGGAAATTGCTTTACTTCAATATTAAAGCTTTTGACATGAGATTGATTTTTTCCCCCTCTGTCAACAGTAAAAATTTCAACTCAACTCCAGCCCATCTTCCAAATTGTTTATGGATGGTTATCTTTCAAAGGGAATCCTTTGGCAATAATCTAAAGGAGAATCTAAGGAGAAAAGAATTAGAAACAATCTAAAGGAGAAAAGAATTAAGTCAATGACACTGGGCACAGGTTTTAAACTGATTACAATTTCAGTAAAAAATAATAATGAATTTCAGGTATCAATGAAAATAGATAAGAGATTTCTCTTTGGTATAAGAACTTTCTAGCTACTCAACTATGACATGAGATTAGCCTGCTATTCCTACTGTTATTAATAAATAGCTCCTGTTTGCCCCCTTAATCTATAGAATCACATAATTAATTCACATTTTGTGAGTCTAATAAATATCAACTGAACATACATGTTTTTCAAAGTGTGGAGTCATGAGTTTAAGAGGCAGTGAAATGCAATTATAGGCTTGGGCTCTGAATCCAACCACTTAATTTGTGCCTAAACCATTAAGCCAGTTGTTTAATTCTTTTTGCACCTGTTCTATTTCTTTGTACCATTGATATAATGTTAGCAACCTTGTAGGATTATTGTGAAGAATAAATAAGATCATATAAGTATAAACACTTAGAACTTACCTAACACAGAGCTGATGCTTTCTAAATGTTAGCAGTCATTATTAGCAAGATTCATTCCTATTTCCAAATGAATGAGAAAGTTCTTATACCACTATAACACTTGCAGCTGGTGATTTATAGATTTTTGGTATAATTTAGGTTATACCAAAATTAAACCTATAATTTAGGTTTCCAGGACTTTATAAATAATGTTCAGCCCAATAAGCTATTCCTCTAAGATGGAGAAATACAATTTTCCCACCATTTTCAAAAGATGGACTACATGGCATTAAAGATTTCTTTCTTATATAAATACCCTTTTTAACTTTTTCATTTCCAGATTGATGCTTTCCCTAAAGATGATTCTGTTTTATCTGAAAGAAGGAGAGAACTCCACAAGGAAGTTGAAGTAGCTAAAAGAAATTTGTCCCAACAGGTTAATAACAATTCTCATTTAAGCTTCTACCTTAGGATGATTAACACAAAGTTGTTATGTTTTAAATGTGCTCTGTGAAACTTCATCAGTAGAAGAGTCATCAAAAAAAGTATTATCTTAATTAATTTGGGTATTTCTTCATCTCAAAGTCCACTCCAGCCCCACATTAAATTTGGGGGAAATGGGTGTGCTTGAACCAACAAAAATGATACAAACTTAAGAGATTTTAAAAGAAAAGGAGCTACTGATTACATTAAAAATTAACAAGTGTTTTATTTCATCAATGTATAATTTCTGAGTTCAAAATTTACTCGTCATTGTTAAACTATTTTAAACATGCAATTATGTCTCTTTGAAAGTTATTTAAAAATAGTCTGAGTAAGAAAATGTTGTCTCATGTTAAATATGTTACCATGTTTGCACATTCTTTTATATGATAAAGGAAATACTTGGAGCTAAGGCAATAGATTTAATGTTTTTATGTCTTAATAAAATGATTCCTACACAGGAAATAAAAGAGTAATCTAAGATACTGGGTTTAGTGAATTTGTTCAAACAAATTATGCTATATTGTATCTTTCAAAAGAAAAGCCTCTCAGAAGCTGAGTCTAAGTTAGTAGAACAACAAATTGCAGAAGAAAACAAGCTTTTAAAGGAGCAAGAAAATGTGCGAGATCTGGTATTCAACCTTGTCCGTATGACTCAAATCAAAATTGATGAGAAAGAACAAAAATCCAAGGATTTCCTGAAAGCTCAGGTAACTGCATTTTTGTAGCCAGCCATTAATTTCTACAAAAGTTTAAGTCAGACTCATTTCAACACAATCTTCAGAGGAAAGCTATCATTGTAAGATTCCATCAAGTTCCAGTGACTAGATTCAATTGTGCACTGAAAAATAGTTCCAGAATTCAGTAGTTAACAATCGAAAGGGGAAAGAGCAATGACAATGAGCAAAGGTTTTGAACAGATGACAGTTTCAGTCAGAATAAGGTAGGTCCTTCCAGTGTAAAGGTGGCTGCAATAGTCATCTGCCATTCTCCACCCTCTCACGCTTATCTAGGAACAACTCAAGAGCAGTAGCATTGGACAACTAAACTCTCCCTCCCATCTAGCCAGCATTATTTAAAACAATGCTGAAATATTCTGAGCTACAGCTTCGCCCCATGATTTTCCAGGGCTCTCACGCAAGTATCAGAGCTAACACAATGCAACTTTCCAAGCAAAAGCAATCAACCCAATGGCAAAAACAATCCTCCTGCCAAAATTCTAACATTAAAGTTAATTATTCCAGTAACGATTATATCCAGAAGTTTCCTGACTAAAAAAAGATTATGATATGACATATTACCAAAATAAGACTATCCGAACCTACCATGTAGCCCAAATGTTGACTATTTCTAAGTATAACATCTTTGCTAATACTAAGCAAGTATTTTTAACTTTTTAAATTGTATTTTTATTGAGGTAACAGTTTATAGCTGTACATGAGTGAGGGGCACAAGTTCAGATTATGTCACCACACCACATCCACCGTCAAAGCACTCATAATCCACAGTAGTCCACTGGTCCTTTCCCACTTTGTTTCCCATCCCCCACCTACCCCTCTGGTAGCCTGAGCAAGTATTTTGCACAGACTAGCATTTATTCTCATTTTTCAGAAAGACCTCATTCATGTCAAAGTGCTAATGAGCAACGAAGTTAAATGCAGATTTTGCAGAGAAGACTCTAACGTACAACCCATAGCAATTCTTCCAATTCCTCTTTAATTTTTTCTTTTTCCCCCTTAGAACATTTGGGACATTGGCAGATATTTAACACAGCCAGTTCATAGGAATATGGGGTGAATGGATGTCAAATAGTGAGATCAGAGAGCAAGAGAGGTCAGATGGTGAAATAACTTAATCCATGGTAAGCAGTTTGGACCTTGTCATGAAACTGAGACAAGTCCAGCTCAGTAAAAGGAAAGAAAGTGGTCAGGGAGGAATGGGGAACAGAAGGCAGCCTAGAAAGTGGGGTGCTGAGGAGAGGGGCAGGCATCAAACAAAGAGCAGAGGTATGAGTACTTTGTTACGAGGAACACTGGTCTTTTTATGAAGTAGACACTTTTTAAATTAACCTCAAAAACTGATATATTTGTTATTTATGTGTGTGATTAATCCACATAAACCAAACCTCATTATTAAGTGAGCTAATATATGTAATTGTACTATATTATATATATATATATATATATATATAAAGGAAAAGTAATGTATTCCATAGGTATTTTATAATATATACTATATTATATATAAATATATAATATATATTATATATGTAATTATATAATATATACTGTATTTTATATATTATATATGTATTTTAACGAAAAGTAATGTTTTCCATAGGTATTTTAAGATTGGAATAGTCTCTGAAACATTATCTATAATAGGCTGTGATTTCTACGAGATAACAGTCAATCTTGGGTTATTTTCACGCTTTTTGTACATGCCTAAAGAGGAAAGTCAGTGTTGCTATTACCCCCAAGATGGAGGAGAGGATACCACATTTTTATATCTGTTTACATATTTTTAATCTACATTTTATATACAATTATTTAATAATAGTCATTTCTTCCTAACTACTATTCTCACTGAGAACAGCCTAAAATTGTTAGAAGTCAATCTTGCCTCTGAAGCTTAGACTCCTTCGAGTCACTCCTGCAAATGGGTTTTTCTCTCACAGTCCTCAAGAGAAGCAACAGAAACTTTTATTTGGTTTCTACAATAAATACTCCATCTTTAAGTTTGTTTCCGACTTTAGAAAAAAGACCAGTGTTTTTGTATTTGAAGACCATAACTTGTGTATTTAGCCCGGATGATAGCTGTAGGACTTGAGAAGTGTAACAGTTGGCTTTTTAAATTCTGGTGTGCAGTCTCACAGACTACTCAGGGCTGAGCTCAGCAGGGTGCACGCGGAGAAAAAAAGCATGGGAATGCCAGCTAAAATCATGGCTGAGTCTCTCACTAAACATGAAGTGGTTCAAGTCATGATATGTACCAAGATTTACTATAAACCCCCCGACCCACAAGCAGGTACTCACCCAGCCAGCCATGCCATGGACTGTTACTCTTCAGCTTCTTCAAAATGTCCCCTTTTCCTCAAATTCAATATGTGCAGGCTAAACTTTCCTCCTTCTCCTCTCTCCATTTTCCTTTCCTGTTATTACTCCTCTGTGTTAGCTACGGTGATTTAGTTCAGCTGAGCAGGCAATGTTCACTCTTCCTCCTCCTCCCCCTAATTTGTACAATCCAGCTGGTCAAGGTAGAATTTTTTTTAATGAGTGGCATTGAGTTGGGGTTAGGCTAGCAGTGTTCAGGTTGTTGTCAGTGGGCTTTAAAAAAAAATGTCGCTCACAATTTTTACATTTCAGCAAAAATATACCAGTATTGTTAAGGAAATCAAAGCAAAGGATCTTGAAATCAGGATACACAAGAAGAAAAAACGTGAAATTCATCGAAGGTAAAAGAATTACATGATGATTTTTCTAACTAGATGGTGCGGGGAGGATTTTATTTCATACGTTTTGAAATAAAACTTATATTTTCACAGACTCAGAGAGTTTGCTAAACTATATGACACTATTCGAAATGAAAGGAACAAATTTGTTAACTTACTTCACAAAGCTTACCAGAAGGTAAATGAAATAAAAGAAAGGCATAAGATGTCATTAAATGAGTTGGAAATTTTAAGAAATAGTGCAGTTACTCAAGAAAGGTAAGTGTTACAATAACATATAGTCTTTGTATCAAAGGCTTGTCTTCTGTCTCATTGAACTCTAAAATAACCTGGGGATAATAAAATGTAAAATAATAGCCTTTTACAAAGATTGAAAAGCCCTTGTTCAAGCACCTTGCCTAACAGATGGGAGTCTAAGCATATGCATGTGATTCCTGATCATTCTATTGTTTGGGGACCATATCATTTTAAGTCAATGATAATGATAATATTTATCATTGTAAGTCAATGATAAGCTATAATATTTATCGATGCTTCCTATATTTATTTTCATTCATCTAGCACAAATCGAACACGTTGCATTTAAGTTAGAAGAGCTTCAAATGTTATTAACCGGCATCACCTGGTTGTAGACTTGAAGCTTCTGCTGTGCTCGTGGGAGGTTATAGAGCAGAGTGGCTAAGAGATGTAACTTTCTGGACTCAAATCTCAGCCTTACTACTTACTAGTTATGTGACCTTACTTCACTGGCCTCATTTCCTTACACAAAAAATTAGTCCTTACCGGCTCTCCCTGGTGGCGCAGCGGGATAAAGCACAGCACTAAGAAGCTAAAGCCACTTCCGCATGAGTTCGATTCCACCTGCCCCAGAGGAGATCCACACGGCGTGGCAGACCTCTCCTGGCCCGCCCGCTGCTCCCCTCAGCAGTGTACTTCGTTGATCTGCCTGTTCTGCTCCCCACTCTGTCTCTGGTGAATCCTCTCACCCTCCGCATCTCTGGCCTGTACCCCAGTTCCATATGAATGAATAAATAAATCTTTAAAAAAAAAAATTAGTCCTTACCTCGTAAGGCTTTTAGTTTATCCATATAAAAACACTCAGAAGTGTCCAGAAACTGACTTTCTTTTATTATTTACCTACCGTGTGCCCAAGTCTGTCATGTTCCTCATTTACTGAGCTCATAAAATCTGAACATTTTCTGTAGCCATTATTGCCCAGTTTCCTCTTATAGAGATATTCTAGATGGCCTCGTGTGTTAGGGGACTTGGGATAGAGATGGAACAGAGAAAGGGCTTTTCATAAAAAGGAGTGTAGCATTTCCAGTCAGGCACATTTCCAACATGAAAGTAGGTAGCATTCACTGCATGGGCAGACACCACCTTCAGGCCTGTGATATTCTGATATAACTCCCTCTTCTTCAAGAGAGCAGTCTCCTGAGGGTGACACAACAGTAAATGAATTACTAGTCACTTGCTTTGGTGAAAGCTGAGCAACACAAGCGTAGGGCACAAAAAAAAATCCTGATCTGGATGGAAGATTTGAGACCTGGGAAGATTACAGAAATTCCTGATGGGGTCATATAAGAAGTATTCTTATTGCTACTTCTGTTGTCTTTTTAAAATTTTCAATATAATAGTTTATTTTTACATCACTTTGTGCCTTTTTCACCACAGTTGTAATCCCCGTGGGCTTCCCATTACCAAATCACCCATGTGCCATCACCATAGTCCAGTGCACTTCCCCCTGCCCTGTTTTTATCTCATTCCCCACGTGCCCCCCCAAAATGTCTCTGATATATAGTTGTTCATTATTATTCCCCCTGGTCCTTTATGCTCCTGCTATGAGTGAAACCATCCGGTATTTTTCTTTTTCTTTCTGGCTTATTTCACTAAACATGATCCCTTCCAGCTCCACCCATATTGCTGCAAAGTCATGTGTTTATCTTTTTTGGTTGCTGAGCAATATTTTGTGTATATGTACCACCTCTTCTTGGTCCAGTCATCCACTTTTGGGCATTTGGGCTGCTTCCATGTCTTTTCAATTGTAAATAAAGCAGCAATAAACATGGGGGTGTAGGTGTCTTTTTGAATCAGTGTTTTTGTGTCTTTTGGGTAGATACCTAGGAGCGGGATTGCTGGGTCATAGGGAAGCTCCATTTCTAGCATTTTGAGGAACCTCCAAACAGCTTTCCATAGTGGTTGTATCAGCTTGCATTCCCACCAGCAGTATAGGAGTGTTCCTTTTTCTCCACATCCTCACCAACATTTGTTGTTGCTAGTTTTAATATGTGCCATTCTCACTGGGATGAGATGGGTGGTATCTCATTGTGGTTTTAATCTACATCTCCCTTATTACAAGTGATGTTAAACACTTTTTTCATATGTTTGTTGGCCATCTGTATTTCCTTTTTGGAGAAGTGTCTTTTTAGCTTTTCTGCCCATTTTTTTTTTGATGGGGTACTTCTGTTACCATTTAATGGGATATACTAAGCAAGAACCACTCTGACACTATTTATGTTTCAGAAATTTCATGGCTTTTAAAGAAACTAATGTATACTTGTGCCCAACTTCCCATTATTTTTAAAGAAAACTCCAAAATTCCATGCTAAAACACGCCAACAATGTCACCATCAGAGAAAGCATGCAAAATGACGTGTGCAAAATTGTTGCAAAGCTTCAGGATATGAAGGAGAAGAAGGAGATCCAGCTTAGCAACATTGACAGACTTGCCAGCATGATCACAATGATTGAAGAGGAGATGGTGCAGCTACGCAAAAAATACGAAAAAGCTGTTCAGGGTCGAAATGAAAGGTAAAAACTAGGAAATTAACATGATTCTTTAGAAATGTTGCCTTTCTTTTCATCTAGACTTGACAGTAAGTAGAGAGGGTCACTTGACATTGAAGTTTCACAGCCTTTGGTGGGGGGAGGGGCGCGGGCAGGTTGTATGTTTTGCCTGAAAGAAATGCTGTCTTTGTAAGAAGACAGGGAAGAGGAGGGTCTGGAGTGGCTTCTTGAAGATCAAAGTCCTGGCCAGCCTACCTTTCAAGATGCTTCTTACATCACCAATTCTCACAGAACAGTTGCATAAGTAAGTCTTTGTATCATTGTGTCCATTCCTGTGACAGGTTTGGTGTTAGCGAGTTATTAAGCCATGCTCCCAGTTCATTTTCTCAGGCAAGGTCATCAGAGTAGCTTTCTTTCTTTCAGGCTACAAGTCCATTGTTAATTGCTACTTGAACAGACTTCCAAGTTCCTTGTGTTCTGTGAATCTGGAACATGAGCCCTGTAGTCATTATGTGTAAGAGATTTGTTTTCATCAGCTCTTGACTGTGGGCTGCTCTGTGTAAGATGGAGCACTGAACCCTGAGATTCAAAAAGGTGCTAAAGCCTTGCCCTCGGCTTCTGTTGTCAGGAGAACTGGAACATGGGAGAGGCTGCAAATGACACAAAACCTAGAACTACAATTAGCCAAATACAACCATGTGCACACGTTTTGAGGCAGGAGAGAGAAAAATAGAAGCAATTAAGATGAGCCCTAGGGTAAGGGATAAGCACAGAATGTGGGAAGCTCTTGGGGATGCAGAACACCACTCGTTAAAAGGAGTGGCAGGTGTTTTCTCAGGAAGGAACAAAGCCTCCACTTTAGCTTCCAGCACACATCAAAGCATTTAGACCCTGGTCAGATCTTTGGGCCCAAGTTAGAAAATTCTTTTTTCTTCACTACATTCTCCTCATACGGACAAGTCTATCCCCCAACACACTAATAAAAAAGACAGCATTTTTCCTGCTTGTGGGAAAAAATTGTGTCCCAAATATTCAACTTTACAAGAACCTGGTGGTCCTGGCAAGTTATATTGAACAGAATGGTTGCAAAGACGCAGTCGTTGGGCCCCTGCCTGTCTACTTCTAACCAGACTTTGGTTGGCAAAACTGTCCTGAGAAAAGGGTCTGGGGGAAAAGGGTCAGACTATAGGATCATTTTCTTTCCATGTGGGGAATGACATTCTCTCCCCCCCTGGAAAACCTTTGTGACTGGCAGGGACACTGACCAGCCAACTCATGGTCAGCTCCATGCTGAGATGTAAACCACCTCAACCCTCTGATCGCCAGAAAAATTCAAAGTGTGGCATTTCAGTAGAAAGCCAGTGGGAAATCTCTGTTGTCCTCCAAAATTATGTTATTTTGTGCCCAAATCCGGAGAAGACCATAATATATTAACTAGTAAGACAGTGGCCTTCGCACCGTCTCAGTCTCTGGCTCTCAATCTCGCTGCAGTGGTGTTCAGCTGATAGAGCGGGAAGAAGAAGTGTGCATTTTTTATGAAAAAATAAACATCCAAGAGAAGATGAAGCTAAATGGAGAAATTGAAATACATGTCCTGGAAGAGAAGATTCGATTCCTGAAACTGAAGATTGCTGAGAAGCAAAGACAGATTCACGTGACCCAGAAACTGCTGCCCACCAAGCGGGCCCTCGATGCCGAGCTCGCGGTGCTCCAGATTCAGGTGGGAGAAGCGCTCCTGACGCTACCTGGCCCTTTGCTTGCTTCCCTCCTTTTATTAGTTTGTGGGTTGTGTAAATTCTCACATGTAAGCCGAGCTCAGCTACTTCTGGAGCCCATCAGAGCCATGAGGTGATGCCATCCATGGTGGAATCTGTGTTTCAGACGTGGCAGCTTCTGATTGCCCCCCTGCCCCGCCATCCCCAAGAAGCATTTCTGCCTTTCTTGGAATTCAGACCCTTTTAGGGTTCCACCTCAGCATCCTCAGTTCAAAAAGTCACATATCCAATCTTTCATTGCCTCTTGCAAAATTACGTTTCGATGCTTGCTTGAAAGATATTGGAGGCCACATGACTTGCCCTCTGAAGTTGAGATTGTTATTGGCAATCAAGTATAAATAATTAGATTCGCTATCAGCCCCTCTAATATCCTGTAATTTAGGAAACTGGACGCTCAAATGGTCTTTTTAAAAATGGGATAAAGTAAGAAAAATTTAAACACAAAACTATGTTGTGTTTAAATACAAACTATCACAAAATTATGATGTCACCATTTAAACTTATTTTTGTTGAGAAGGGAACAAAAATTAATTACTTTAAGCTTGCCAAGATCACTCTTGGACATGTTCTAAAGTACTTCAAGTACATTATCTCACTTGATGAATCAAATCCTTGAGACTGGGCATCTTCCCAATTCACAGCTTATCTCCCCATTTACCGGTTTCCCATAGGAAACTAAGTTTATAAAGATGATAAATTATGTTCTTGAAACTATATGGGTATCCAGTGGAAAAGCTGACAGTGATGACTCTTAGTTTTCACTGAGTTCCACATCTCTATCATCTCTGACCTAAAAGTTATAAATAACTGAGGCTATTTTTCACAGGTGGCACAATAATTACTCTTCTTTGGGAAGCTCTTAAACCTACTGCCAACAAAGGGCTTTAAGCTTTGTGCCTAGTACGTTGCCTACCTTGGCCTCTGTAACAACCTGCAGTGAACAGGTCAGGTCTGTTTGAGTTCTGCAACCCCCCCCCCCTGCATCCCTTGAGTATAATACGAATGGAAAGTAATCAAAGAGCTGGTCATAGGATTAGTTTCTTCTTTGATGACTCAAAAGGCACTACCTTGCCTGAGGGGTCCGTCACAGGCATCCCCCTCACAGTACCATGTGGAAACAGTAACACTGCTTACCTGTAAATCCCAGCAGAGAGGGTGTTGAGATTTCTTTTCCACCTTAACCTGGGTTAGTCTTTGCAGAACGACTGTAAAGACCCTAGGCTGTGTGATTTTAGGATTTACTGAGTCAAGAGAGTTTTAAAGTAAATGTTTCTTTTTGTTTAATAGTTTTCACAGTGTACAGACAGAATAAAAGAGCTGGAGAAAGAGTTTATAAACCCTGAGGGTAAGAACAGAGCCCGCTTCCTTCCAGGGAAGGATCTGACCGAAGAAGAAATGATCAAAAAATTAGACGCGGTAAATATTCTTTGGTATGGTAGCTCCTGTTAGCCCTGTGCGAGTCAGTGCCACAGTCATCTGCGGCTCCCCCGTTACACTGACCGACTAGTTACTAACATGTCTTATCACTGCCATCCTGTCAGAAAATCTTAGCTAAACTTTAGGCACTTGCCAAAGGAAGTCAGGTGCTCAACTTACGGTTAGGAGTGATTTAGCCCATAGGATTTTGACATCTTGAATTATTTGTCTTCCCAATGGGAGCTATCAGAGGCACGAAACACAGATGGAGTTGGAGGGCCCTTCTCCACCCACCACGCAGAGGAAGAACTCCCAGAGCTGCCCAGAGGAGGGGGGGGGGGGGGCGGGGGGGGTAGGTTTGACCTAGTTCAGTTCTAAACAATTTAGTGATTGCAAAAGCAATGTCTCCATTAAAGGAGGGAAGGCAAAATAACACTCAGACTAGGAAAGAAGATTTTTTTTATTTGACTTCTTTTTTCCCTATTAAAAATGTTTTCAAAAATAAACATAAAACTGTCTTCAACATTAGCTGGAACTACAGCTAGCCAAAGAGGAGGAGAAGTTACTGGAGAAGGATTTCATCTATGAACAGGTTTCCCGGCTCACAGACAGGCTCTGCAGCAAAAGTGAGGCTGGCAAACAGGACACGCTGCTCTTGGCCAAGAAGGTCTGTTGGAAACTCTGCTTGCTCCTCCACCCTGATCCTGTGGCTCCTTTCACTTTCTGAAGACTGATTTGTCCACTCAGAGATTCACTAGAGATCAGGCTTTATGACTAGAGAGACAGACATACCAAACTGTAAAGATGACTCTTAGAGAACTGTTCAAAATAAGTTTTCAATCTTGTTCCTTAAATAAATTCAGTTTATGGTGGGAAAACCTAAGCCTCTCCATGACAATAGTTACACGGAACAGGATACTATTCACATATGGCAGTTCTTGTTTTCATATTTCATATGCCAAGTTCAGCCTTCTCTAGCTTCTTGTGAGGGAAGAGGGCTCTACCCAGCAGTGGCGCAGGAACCACACGGTTCTCTCCTCCTCCCCCCCACCCACCTTCCGTGTCTCTACACTGCTTTTCTCTTATTTTCATTCAAAATTATAATTGGTGGTGGGAAGTCAACCGAGATGAAAAATGTAGAAAATAAAAATGATGTAAAAATATATATATAATATTTTTTAAATAAAATTATAATCTCCTAATAGTGATTGGAGCTAGAAGGCAGAATGATATTCAGATCCCATATCTGTGATTTTCCAATACTGGCAAATGACCTTGAAAACATATATAAATGATCTCTGCACTGAGTTTCCTGATCTGTGAGAAGTGTGATGCCAGCTGAAATTGTTGCCAGCATCACATAATTGAGCATAAGTGTGGGGACTCAACAAGGCATGTCTCCCCACCTCTCATCTTCCTTGTATAGTTTATGGTTCCTCTTGCAAGTTTCCCAACTGACTAGAAAATGGGAAATCCCAGCAAAGACTAACATTTTACTAGATAATGCCAATTTTTAAAAGTTTTGTTCTACCAAAGGATAATTGGTAAATTTTTCCTGGTGAATGTTACAAGTCAGTAACATGGCAAAATTTGCCAGAACTTAGACATTAAGAATACCTTTTCTCCCTCTCCTTGTCACCTCCTGAAAATACACTAAACTCTTCCTCTCTACGCTATTCACCCAGAAATCCAGTAACCGGATGAGTTCTTTTCTCTCCCTGTCCTTATTTATAAAAGTAGGATATTGGGATCAATCTCAGAGGTTCCCACCAATTCTTGTTTTCTGTGAGTTCTCATTGAATCTCTCCTTCCTTCAGAAAATAAAGTCCCTCCCCCCAACCCCCATTATAGCCAGCCAGCAGCCTGCGTTTTCTTCAAGTCTTCATATGCTAAGTCTTGGGCTTTTTGATTGTAGATGAATGGCTACCAGAAGAAGATTAAAGATGCTACTAAAAAAATGATGGCTCTTGTTGCTGAGCTGTCCATGAAACAAGCTTTGGCCATTGAACTCCAAAAGGAAGTTAGAGAGAAAGAAGACTTTATCCTTTCTTGCAATTCCAGAATAGAAAAGGGTCTCCCACTCCATAGAGATATTGAGAGAGAATGGCTGAAGGTACTTCGAGATGAAGAAATGTACGCACTGGCCATTGCAGAGAAGTCTCGGGTAAGCTTTGGCTGCTCTGTTGCATTTGTAAAGTGCATCATTGACACCTGACTCATGGTCATCTGGCCTGGCCATCATGGTTTATTGTGAGGGCCTCTGCGTATTATGGTAGCCACAGTCTTTTTCAGACTCTGCATCTGGGATGCATCTTGTCTTAACGCCAGTATTTTCTCCTCATACCACTAACCTAACTAGGTCTATCAGTGACTTCACCTGCAAATTGGCTGCTTAGCTTTCCTCCCTACCCCTAAGGTAGCTCTTTCCCAAGGAAACTACAACCTGGGGACCTAAAACCCACTCTCAGACTATTAAGTTGCATACCCAAAGGGCTTACTATTCACTCCTAACCCAAGAAAAGGATGCATTCCCAACAGACAAGGAACCTGAAAACAGGGTCTCGTTTGTAATTCCCACGTGACCTGGGGTCATATATTTTAGGGCATTCAGATTTTACCTATGGTGTCCCACCTATCACTTACCTGTCACCATTATTTAGGGTTCTTTTCAGTGCAATAAGAGGTTATTTTCCTGAAGCACAGGGAGACTCTTCAACAGGAGGATTAAAGCAAATTGCTACTTCTCTCCTGGTTCCACTTTATTCTTTAGTTCTTCTTTTGTGACATTTGTCCACCATCAGCTTACTAAATGAAATAACTTGTTATGCCTTTGTCAAAAACACAGATATCAGTGCTTGATGAAAGATAATGAGATTGGAGTAACCTGAGAGCAACACACATCATCCAATGAGACAAAATGTGTGTGTCTGTCTGTCTGTCTGTGGGAGAGGAGTTTAGGAGTCTAGAGGAGTGTGATGACTCCACCCTCATGCCCTCCTGTCCCTCTGGGCAATACCAGACAGCAGAGCCTAAGGCTGCTCAGACCCCGCTGTGCTGGTGGGCCCTGATGATAAAATGACTTCATCAGTTTTCAGAACACTGAACATGAATTATCCCCCCCCCCTTTTTTTTTTTTTGCAGGAGTTCTTGGATACAGATAATCGCCAGCTGCCCAATGGTGTTTACACCACTGCAGAGCTACGCCCAAATGCCTACATCCCAGAGGCAGAAGCCACTCTTCCCTTGCCAAAACCATATGGTGCTTTGGCTCCTTTTAAGCCCAGTGAACCCGGGGCCAATATGAGGCACATAAGGAAACCTGTTATAAAGCCAATTGAAATCTAGAAATAAACCAATCTAAGCTTCTCAATGAGAGCCCCAGGCCAACTCATATTCACAACTGGAATATGCCACTCTAACAGTTCTAAATTGCAAATATAGTGTCCAGCGTTAATCAACCAGAGGACAACGTGGCTTCCTCTCACAGTCACCAATCACCGTTTTACAAGAAGTTGAGTAGGTGGGACAAGAATTGTCTTACAGTCATGTCAAAACATATTTACACTTCTCATTTATTTTTAACTCTCTCTATTGCTATCTTCCAGAAATATGTAGTAGATAAGTTACTATAAAATGCAATAAAAAGTTTTCAATGAAAACCAGAAATTGCAAGAGTGGTCTTTCCTTAGCAAAGGAAATATTGTTCATTATATTCACTTTAAAGAGAAAGACAATATCCCAAGTGTAACAGAGGTATACATGTTTAATAAATGTGAAGTTAAATCATGTTAAAAACAGCAGGGAAGTATGTTTATTTTTCCTGTGATTTGCTTACAAGTAAAGAATCCTTTTGCCACAAAAATAATTATGGCCTAATTTATCTTTCTTGTAAAAGTAAATTTTCATTAAGGTTTGCATATTGTTATATGCATATAAACTCATCATTTTAAATTCTGATTCCAGATTTTTCAAAATCTCAGTGAAAATAGAACTTTGCCTATAAAGAGTTGAAAATGAGACCAACTGAAAATGAAGCTTACTTCATTATTCACATTTTATTGTATTTCATTCAACTATATTTTCCTAATTTTGCTTATAAGTAGATTAGAAATCTATGATTTTACATTCTCCTATGCTTAAGCTATCTTTATTTCATATGAGTATTAGTTTTATTTATGAATTTTATTTCACAAATCTGGAAGTGGGAAATATCATAGTCCTTAATTTTGCTAAACCAAACAAAATCTTTTCCAAGTCTCCATCCTGCCAGATTGAGGGGAAATTTAATCTCATTCTCCTGCAATCCTGAATCTATTGTTTTGTAAAGTCATTATAAAAATTACTTAAGCATGCCTAAAAGTAATATTATAAACTGTGCAGTTAATAAAAGGAAATAGGAAATATGATGTACTTAAAAAGTTTCTGTGTTGTATAGATAACACACATTCTGTGGTTATACATTACTAACCACATGAGGGATTTAAAAACATATATACATGCAGGAAGTTTAACAACATAAGGGAGAAATAATTTTAAGAAATCACAACATTATACAACACCTACTCCTGGCTCAGAGATGGTGAGAGGGTGCCACTGTAAGTAGGGATCATAATTAGATAGAACTTTTTAATCTGGCCCTGCAGCATGAACCCCACTTCAGTAAGTGGAGAAGGGATTCCACCTGGGTAAACAGCCTGAGCAGACAAAAACTGTGCTCAAGGATCGGTGATCTGGGCTGGTTGGAACACAGTACTCATATTGGGAAGTTGTATAGGCCAGGATGCAGGAGAATGACTTTGGCAGAGGAGTGACAGGATTGAATTAGTGTTCATCTCAAATATGTGTAAGATGAATTGGATCTTAGAAAGCAACCAGAACAATCCAGGTGTGAAATAAAGGTAGGAAATGAAAAGAATGACCTCTTGAGAAAAAATCAAATCAGAGCTATCTTGCAGACATGATGCTTAAGATTGTGAACCTTGCCAACCATGAAGTATGTGACCAAAAAGGAAAATTCTCTAGGAGAGGACAATTTTTTCAAAAACAACAGTGATTTTAGAAAAGAAGTTAAATATTTGTACTGGCTTGTGATATGTGTAGTCATTAAAAGTCCTCAAGTTCACTGAGCAAAAAACAATGTGAAGATAGAAAAGCAAAGGGTTATGGGCTAACCCCAGGAGCAACTGTATTGATGAATGGGAACAAAGTCACTATAAAAAAGAAAGGAAAGGTGAGATCTGAGGTATCTCGGGGTGTGTGTGTGTAGGGGGGTGTTCTTCCAGGAACATGTTCATGATCTCATGATTCCTGCTTAGAATAAATATGCCGTATTCAAAGAACAAAAGAACAAAATGTTCAATGTTTTGTATTTTTAATGACAAGATACTGTATCAAGCCATTGTAATTATTTTAAAAACTTTAAAAAATTAAATACAACTTCATCTGAACCTTCACAAAGACAAACCCTGATCATAATACTGTATGTTACCAATTTTTCTGTACTAGAAATAGCAGATTTGACTTGGTCCAAGTTTGGTTGTATTTTTTGACTTTTAAGTATACTTTTTCCAGATAGTTTTCATGCAACATTTTTCTGCTTGTTATATGTCATTTTCAATGACACATAAAGTTTTGCTTTTCTAAGTACTGTTTCCCTCATTTTTCAAGTCCACTTTATTTCAGAGCGCGACAGAAAGTAGCTTTTGGTCAAAGAAGCCACTATGGCACATAGGCCGTGAGGATGTTATCTGTGATTGCAAGCCTCCTTGGGTTATTCTCCACACTTGAGTGCTCATTTGCTATTCATAAGAGGGACAAGTTACAGGAGTTTAGTTCTTTCTGAATAAGTACCACGCTAAATTCAGAGGGCTCAACAATGCATTCTGATTTTAGCTAGCAATTTTAAATATTACTAGAGAATTCTCAATAGAAGTAGAACTATTGAACAAGAATGATGAGCAATGAGCAAGAATGAAATAATTGGAAGCTGACTGAATGACATTTTCTCTTTTATAGACCTAAAAGCATTGCAGTGTGTTTGAGAGCTGCTTCCTCTACAAATTTTGCATCAACATTGTCATGTCCTTCAAAAGTGCAAAGAACTGAAAAAAAAAAAGAAAGAAAAATGAGTGACTATTAAGTCATAGAACATTTATAACACTCAGTGAAATCAAATTACTTTAGATTTTAGTAAAACATTATTTGAGAATATGTGATTAAAATGTATTAAATCCCTACACCAAGAAAGCTATTCACATCAACCAGATGGGTACTTAATCTTTCAAAACCACAAAGGTAATTAATTATTCCTTTGGCAATTTACTCTAGGTAGCAAATTGTATATTGCTAATGAAAATGATATAAATGAGAAACAAGGGGAGTGGAGGGAAGGCACACACAAAAAAAATGAATAGAGGCTGATTGATGTGTGAAGGGAGAAATAGGGAAACCCTGAAAACAAAGGAGTAAATTACCTTGGTTCGAGGATTCTATATTTGTTAGTATTTCAATGAAGTAATTCAGAGGCAGAAATTCTACACTGAATGATGATGGCCTATCAGTCAGAGAAGTCCGAGGCTAAAAGAGAAATCACTTCTGGTATTAGTTGATTCTTCAAAACAAGCACAAAATTAAAGTGGTAAGAACTACACTTGCTATCTAACATGGTTATGTTCAAAGGAGCCAACTATATTAAAGAAACATTTGGGGGCTGGGCTGTCACACAAACTCACCTGTTTGTTATAGTTATAAAGCAGTCGCTTCACATGGTTTCGTGAAATAATGTTAGAACTCATAGGATGATCCCAAAGTCGACAGATCTTCTGACCAATAATCTATCATGCAAATTGAAAAAATAACAGATAAGAATTTTTAGGGTTTCATATATTCTCTGTCTGGTATTACGATGGTGGATATACATATCATTAAACATTTGTCTAAATTCAGAATGAATATCACCAAGCATGAACCCTAATGCAATGGGCTGTGAGTGATTATGATACATCAATGTACAATCATCAATTGTAAAAATGGTATGGGCTCTGAGTGATTATGATGCATTAATGTGAGGTCATCAATTGTAATAAAATGGGCCATTCTGGTGAGGTTTGCTGATAGCAGGATACTTTGCATGCAAGGGGGAAAGGGAAATCTCTCATCTTCCACTCCATTTTGTTGTGAACCTAAAATTACTCTAAAAAGATAGTCAATGATAAAAATTAAAGATTGGAAAAAATAGAAAATGTAAATCAAGCTACATTAAGTCCATGTGTCTTGTATGTAACTTGAAAAGTGTTATTCTGAAGTAGCTAGTTAGTCTAAAATATAGGCCCTTTATAGTTAACAACCCTTCAAGAAAAATAATTTTCCATGAGGTATGCTTCTGAATTTTGAATAAGTACTTCCTTAAATGCAATCCTGTAGAAAGCAGTTTATACATTATTGTTGCCAAATTCACTTTCTGAAATGGAGTTTATCTGCTACTCTTCAAAACTGGGCATTTGCATATGAACCCTAAGTGATATTTTGATAAGAAACTAAAGATTGTAAGCATGTTTACATCAACTTCTCTGCCAATGTCTTGCCCAGAAATTTTTGAATCCCTAAGAGTATGAGGCAAAAAAAACCCTCAAATCTGGAGACCAAACGAAACGTTCAGACATTCCCCAGAGGGATCTAGCCATAGAAAATATGCTTTGTTTTCTATTCTTGCCTTTGCTTTGCTTTAGTAAGCCTTTGAGGGGAAGAGGGTGTTATGAAGCAAGACGATTAGATCCAGAAGGCATCAGACATCCCTTGGAGGGAGGATGATAGTACCAGAGACACCAGTGCTCAAGATCTGTAAACAAGCTGGGGTGGGGGTGGGGGTGTCTCTGGGGTTGGAAGTTCAGAGTCACAGGCTCTGGAGACCTTGCCACATAACTCCACATCTTTATAGTATTTCTAATGCAAAGAGCTAATATCCACCACAAAAACAAGGAGTGCCTGCCCATACAAACCTTTCCCTCATGTTTCTCATTCTTCCTTTGACCCAGGAATGTTTTCCTGCTGTGGGGGAAATGACAGTGGGAGGAAATACAGTTCTAGAACCTTCTGACCTCACCTGTACTTAAATTTCTTACCAGTTTAAATACCAAAAGCACACATTTTCCCTTTCACAGCCCTCAGATTCACGATATAAATATTAGGGTGGTTTCCTAAAGGTAGAAAATGGCTAAATGTTTTTGGTGAGCAGTGCCAAGCCCAGTACAGAGCCAGAGTAGCAAGCACAATCTGGCCCAGCCAGGAGCAGATGCTCAGGGGTGGGAATGGATGGGATTTCTTGGAAAGGGCTGAAAAGTGAAGCAGTTTAATTGACTTAGCCCAAAGCACATAAGTGCTTTTCTTACAAAGAGAAATTGCAGGAGGTCCATGCCAAGGCTTAGAGAGAAAACAAAATATAATTCAGGATTACCGGAGGAAGTCGCACAATGATGCTGAATTTTAGTTTTTCATTTTTCTCTGTGTTGTCGAGATCTACAAGATAGTAAGAAATTGGCAAAACCTCAAACATATCAGAATTCTCCATGTTAATACTGAGCAAGCTAACAATACTTCCATGGCTCATCCTGCAAACACATGCCCTAACCCTGCATTTCAAGCTAAATTTAACAATGCTTTGACATTTTTAATTTTTGTCTCTGAATAAAAAGGGATTTCTAATGAAGTCGTTTCTAGATATCAATGGATACACTTGGTTATAGGCTGCCAACCGCAAGGCAATTTTACTGAGTAACTTAAAGCAGAAGGAAGGCCCCTTGAAAAATGGCAAATACTTTAAGATGTATTAGCAAAATTCATTGATAAAAACCCTACAATTGAGTAAGTGATGGTGACTACACTACAAATGAATCTCCTGCCCTCAAGTGCCTCATGAAAAAAAAAAAAAGGGATTTTGTAGCTACATGTGGACTGAGAAGTCCTTTGGGGCCTTCTGAAGAGCTCAGGCACTAGAACTGGTCCAAAAGAAGTGAGCTACACTGAAGTTGCACTCAAGAGGACCACCTGTCTATTTTGTGGAGCCCAGTGCAAAGCGAAAATGAGGAGGCATTGGTTCAAATATTAAGAATTTCACAATTTAATACAGAATGTTAAAAACCTCAGGGCTTGGCCCTCCCTGGTGGTGCAGCGGGTTAAAGCATAGCATTAAGAAGCTAAAACCATTTCTGCATGAGTTCGATTCCCGCCTGCCCCGGAGGTGACCACATGGCGTGGCAGACCCCTCCTGACCCGCCTGCTGCTCCCCTCAGCAGTGTACTTCGTGGATCTGCCTGTTCTGTTCCCTGCTCTGTCTCTGGTGAATCCTATCACCCTCCACATCTCTGGCCTGTACCCCAGTTCTGTACGAATAAATAAATAAATCTTAAAAAAAACAAACAAACAAACAAACAAAAAAAACCTCAGGGCTCTTCTCAGTGCACCAGGCCCTGTGTGACCTCACACCCCCATGAAGCCAGAGCCTCTTACCTTTCATGAGCCTTGTGACAGCTGTTTCTGTGGGAAGCAACACTCCATTATCAATGTAATGCAGCAGGTTATGCAAAGGGAGACAGTGGACACCAAGGATGGTATGCAGAGTGTGAAAACCTAGGATGAGACACAGAGGGTAAAAAGGGTCAAGCCAGCCTCTCTAGCCTTCCAGGGGAATGAACTCAGTAATGTTAATAAAGCACTTAGCAGTGTGCTTGGCACCTTGAGTCAAATAAATGCTCTTGAAGACAAGGTTCAAATTTCCTTCTCTGTATTTTCACTACTAAATATTGTGCTGGACATGTAGTAAGATCCCAACAAGTACCTGTTCCCTTTACCTTGTGTCCTCTCCTAGCAAAAAGAAGGCAAGGCCTGCTCGATGCAAAATGTTTTTACAGTTGAATAAGTCTGCAATTCTATAGTAAGGGGGGGGGGGAGAAAAATTAGTAGAAGAGCTTCAAATTCCATATGTCTAGCTAAAAAATTGATGGGAGGAAAAATTGGATCAGAAGAGAATAGTGGATATGCCTGATATCTCAGCATGCCCTGAGAAAGGCTTTTGTGGTCTACTTGCACTAAATTATAGAGAAAAACAAAAAAAGAATTAAAACCATAGAGTCAGAGAGTAAGTCCCTAGGAATTCAACAGAGAGGAAGGCATTCTCTCAGACTGAAAGTGTGTGGGGAGGGCTACCCAAACCCCCACATGTCTAGAGTGCTAAGTGTTCTAATAACAATAAAAACACCCATGGAAGAAGATATCCAGCCAGGGGAGAATCAGAAAAATTCCCCTTAGAAAGGATGGAATGTGAGGGGAGGTTTGAAGGGTAGACATAATTCTTGGGAGTGGAAATGAGGTGAATCAATACAGTGAGTGGAGATAACAGAACAAGCTGGCCTAACTGCAGCAGACTCTGCTAGACGCTTGCTGGTCCCTAACAGCAGAGATAATAAAGCCTTTCTGAGCCTCCACTTCTTTAGCCTTAAAAGGTAGTCTGAGTCCCCTCCTCAGGGCTGTGGAAAGAACTAGAGCAAGGTCTGCAAAGGGCCTCACAGGTGGCACAACAGTGACAAATTTCAAAGGTGAATTGAGGCCTTCAGTCTACACATTGACTCACTTGGTCCTCCACATAATGCCACTGAATGAGGAGCTTAGGAGATGGACCCAGGCAGTGAGTCAGGATCAAGATGCCTCAAGGCCACTTATCAGACTGAGTGAAACTGGTTGGAGTCAGGGTGCCCCCAACCCAGGGAAAAAGGACCGTTCAGAACACCAACACAATAACAATGCCAATAACACAGTAACACAATGCCAAAGCAATGGACCAAAGCTCGTTTGGGGAGAGCAGGTCAGGTAGCCTGGGAGGCTCAGTAACTTTGAAAATCCCATGAGCCTCAACAATCAGCAAGAGACACAATGCTGGGCACTGTTCAGCCAACCCCCCACTCCTTGCCCACTATACCTGTACAATACCTGCTTCTCGCCCTCTCAGCAGCTACCCACTCAGGACTCCTCCCTGTCTAGACAGCTTTCCTGTCTTTTATCTGCCAATCAACGTCTTGCTTTTCTGCCTAACTCTGGTCTCCACAATGAATCACTTACTCAGGTAGATAAGAACAGAGAGCCACTGGACCCCTCCAAGCCAAATTTACCATTTGATGTGATTCACCAACTGGGTTCCCATTTTTATAAATGGCAAAAAATTGAAATTAACAAGAGCTAAGAAACTTGTCCAGGATCGTATATATAGTAAATGGCAGAGATTAAATTTGAATGAGGCTGTAAGATTTTAGCCTAGGCTTTTAACTATGACATTATCAGGCTTTGATAACAAGTAGTTATGTTACTGGAAAAATATGAACAGAGGCCCAAAGGTAAAAGAGTAGGGGCATGTTCAGAAAAGATGAAGTGATCCACCTGAGTTGACACCAGGTATGTAGAGGATGATGGGGAATGAGGCTGTTAAATCTAATTCATTCACAAGCCCCTTCCATACATGCATCAGGAAAGGGTTGGGCATACAATGATAAGCAAAATAGACATGACTGCTGCTCTCAGCTGCCAGTCTGATAGAGGAAACAGGTGATCAAGTAGTCACAATAGTAAACAGACATTTTAAAATATGGGCAGATCTATGAAGGAAAAATGTAGGGTGTCCTCAGCACAACTCCTGTGACAGGAGTTGAATGGTGAAAGACAGTAAGGAGTTAAGTGTTTAGTAGACTATGGGGAGGCACTGAAAGTTTGTGAACAGGGTGGAAAAGAGTTAAGTTTTATTTTTGGAGTATTAAGATGGCAACATGCAATGAGTGGGATATAGTAACAGTTTGCTGCAGGAGGTATGAAGACCTGCTGGGGGCTTACTGCATGCACTTGAGCAAGAGGTCATAAGGGCGATGACAGCAAAGAGGAAAGAAGGGATTGGAGCTACAGTGACATGGAGCGGCTCGGAAACTGATTAGTTGCAGATGAGAAATGACAAAGAAACACAGCAAAAGTTTATGACAAAGAAATGATACCCGAAGAGCATTAGCTCTTGGACTCAGAAATCATAGCTTTCCCTCAGCTCAGGAGGCCTGAGCAAACACATGGAACCTGAGTCCCAATCCTGGCAACATCAAAGGTCAGACAAAGTGCAGACTCTGCCCACAAGCAGATGTTAATCCACTGCCTTGCCTAAATCTCAAAAAAAAAAATAAATAAATAAATAAAATAAGAAAAAATAGTGACTTTACTAGCTAGTCAACATGAGATCTTTTCTTTTTAAGATTTATTTATTTATTCTTACAGAACTCGCCAGAGGTGCAGGGGTGGTGAGAGGATTCACCAGAGACAGAGTGGGGAACAGAACAGGCCGACTGACAAGGTACACTGCTGAGGAGAGCAGCACGTGGTCAGGAGAGGTCTGCAGTGCCATGTGGGTCACCTTCAGGCCAGGGAGTGAACTCATGCTGCAGGGGCTTCAGAGAACTTCATAATACGGTGCTTTAACCTGTTGTGCCACCAGGGAGAGCCCCAACATGAAATCTTTTAATGGATCTGAAGGGTATACTCAAGTTTAAAAATATATAAATTATTTCTGAAAATTTTATAAAAGGTTATGGATTCTCCCCCCAGTCCTGTGTCCATGTCCTAAAGAACCCTGTGACCCTCCTCCTCTATTCCAAGGGCACTGTCCCAAAGTCAACTGCTGGTTCTTGGCCTCCTTCCTGCACTCAGCTCTAAGTAAAAGAGAAAAATTGGCTAAAAGTGACATCAGTTCTAAAACAGAGGACAATTCCAGCCAACTCCTAACTCATCCTCTAGCTAAGACTCTGGCCTTCTCATGCCAGCAAGGGCAGCACAGGTCCTTTTTTAACTGCAAACACTACATCACTTCCTTTTTGTGATGCTCATTCCATCTTTTAAAAAAAGATTTATTTTGTTTATGCATACAAGAACTGGGCCAGAGGTGTCAGGGGTGAGAGGATCCACCAGAGACAGAGTGGGGAGCAGAACAAGCAGATCCACTGAAATACACTGTTGAGGGGAGCAGTGGTGAGACAGGAAGAGTCCTGCTGTGCTGTGTGGACCAGCTCCATGGTGGGGGATCAAACTCATGCCACAATGCTGTGTAGCTGTGGTTAGCTTCATAGTGCTGAGACTTAAACCCTTGCACCACTAGGGAGGCCCTCATTCTATTTTTTAAAATCATTTAGGTAGGTTTCTAATACTTGGAAATCAAGCAAATCTCACTAGTCCAGTAAGCCTAGAAAGCAAGTATACTTACACATGTGCACACACAAACACATACACAACTTCGAGTCACTTTCATTTCCATGTTACAAGAGGAAAACCAACATTTAAAAGAAAAGAGAGAGGGCAGAGTAAAGACGCCGAGATCACCGCGTCCAAGCCTGCATAGGAATTGAGGACTGAAAACAGACTATAGACTCACTTACTACAAGTTTT